CCACATGGTTCCGTTTGTCCGCGTGTCATCCCCCGCGTGTCTCCAGGTCAGAGGTCGCAACCGGGTACCCGATACCCCGTACCCTCCGATACCCGGGTACCCGTACCCGGCCGGGTACGGGTACCCGTTTGCGACCCTGGTGCAGCCGGGTACGGGTAGACCGCGAGTCACTGGCGAGTAACCGTTTGTCACTCATTTCCCAACGTCTTGTCTCTTCTCACAATTCAAGTTCCTAGAATCAACCCACCCGCGCCTGCAACATGGCTTCATCACAGAGGTCGCAATCGGGTACCCGATACCCGTACCGTACCCGTACCCGGCGGGGTACGGGTAGGGTACGGGTATCCAATTGTCCGTGTGTCACCCCACCGCGTGTCTCCGCGTCTCCGTTGGTGTCGCTCCCCCGGCGTGTCTAGACTTGGACACAACCAGGTGGTTGAATGTGTCTCCCTCGCCTGATATGAAAGAGTTGTCGTGGGTTCCCCCGATACCAACACCCTGACCCTGTCGTATATTTGGAGTTTGCGTGTCTCTCTCCCCGTGGTCGCGAGGATTTTTCTCCAGGTCCTCGGTTTTTCCCTCCACATTTAGAATCAGCGTCGCGCGTTCAGAGTATTTGGCTGCCGCTAGAAATTTGCACACGATGATGACGATGAGCTACTTCGTTGAGCTATCAATTGTGTTCGCCAGGTCGCTTCTGGAAAAAAGCTATGCAGGTCAGTGGAGCCTTAATCTGGTAAAATAAATACAAATATTTAAAAATATTTCGTAAAAAATCTAATTGTTTAATTTAAATGAATAGTGAATTTTTTTTTATTGTCAAAAAAAATATTTTTATTAAAAAAATATAAAAAAAACATTGGTAAAATAAAAAAATATAGTGGAATTTTTTTTATATTACATTTTTTTACTTAAAAAAAGTAAAAAAATATAGTTTCAAAAATGTACAAAGTGTTGAAAAAATTGTGCAAAATAATAAATGTGAATAAAAAAAAAATATTTGTAAAAATGTGTTACAAAAATAATGCAAAAATATAAATGTAAATTATTATTTTTTTTATTAATATTTTTGAAAAAATGTTACAAACGTGTTACATTTTTTGTTTCGTAAAAAAAAATAGTTGAACAAAAAATTCAACAACAAAAAAGTGTAAAAAAAATCACGAGTTCTCCCCACCTTGGCCCCGCAGTCTGCCCCCTTGCGGACGCAGAATCCCAGGAAGAGAGGATCCCCCACGCGGGCCAGGACGTTGTCCACGCAGTACGCGTGCACGTAGCGCACCCCGCGCGCCTCCATGTCGGCCAGCACGCCGCTGTCCCCCAGCGCGCGGTACAGACCTCCGTTACCGTCTACACGACGGCGACAAATATAGGATTTTGGGTCAGATTGCGTTATTTATAAATGTGTCGCAACCCTCCACCACCCGGCACGGCCCAAACAGTAAAAAAATGTGTCACGTTGACAAAAGACAAATAGTTCACTTCTCTACCCTCATCTTCTTGGTTCTTTCGGTAAAGTCACGTAGAAGGGAAGTAATAAAATAATAAAAATAAAACATCATAAAATTATTCTCACGACGTTTCGGCCACAACGCAAGCAGCCGTCCTCAGGTGAAAACCAGGTCCGTCGAGGCGACAGAGTCTGAATGAAACAGCACACGAGCTTGGAGCATATATATAAGCTGGGCGCCTTGACAAAGGAATTTGCATATCAAGAGGAATTTAGCATATTTATGGGAAATGCAGGAATTGTGATTAGTACTACATATGCGTGTGCATTATGCAGGATTAACAGCTTTAAATCGAAATTCTCTACCCTCCTTGCCTCAAATCACTGCACCAGAATTGAATTAAACAATGACGTCACCCTGCTGATGCTGCTGCTCTATTTAAGACCGGGAGCAACAGGAGAGCTTCACCATTCTTGCCCGATGAAGCTGATTGTAATTACCAGCAAAACGTCGTGCTACTCACATTTCAAAATGCTGTTGATTCTCTCTTCAACACACCGGTGGGCTAAAGAAGTGAATTATTTTGTCCTTTGTAAACGTGACACTTTTTTTTACTGTTTGGCCCTGTCGGGTGGTTGGAGGGTTACGACACATTTATAAATAACGCGATCTGACCCAAAAACCTTTATTATGAACATAGTTACACTAACGTGTTAACCTCCAACTGAACACAATTGCTCTAAAGACTACACGGCGGCGACGACAATTGCGCGCGTCAACCACACGGGGACAACAACAACAACAACACAAACAACTACATCCCCAGCCGGTCATGACCAGGCACTGCTGATAATACAGAGAGGGTGAATTTTGATGTAAAGCTTTCGTGACTGCAGGGATTCATATTCTGGCGAGGCGTCCCCGCGTGTCCCCGCGTGTCCCCCCGTGTCACCCCGCGTGTCCCCCTTGTCCCACCCCTGTGTCTCCCCCGCGTCCCCAGTGTCTCCCCACGTCTCCCCGTGTGCCCGCCCCGTGTCTCCCCGCGTATCTCCCCGCGTCTCCGCCGCGTCTCCCCGAGTTACCGGGAGCCCTGGCGAGGCGTCCCCGCGTCTCCCCGTGTGTCCCCGCGTCACCCCGTGTGTCTCCCTTCTCCCCCGTGTCTCCCCGCGTGTCTCCCCGCGTGTCTCCCCGCGTCTCCCCACGTTACCGGGAGCCCTGGCGAGGCGTCCCCGTGTCTCCAGGATGACCTTGCCGTCGGGGGTCAGGGCCGGGATCTGTCGCTGCTCAAAGAGGCGAACGTCGTCCTCGCACAGCCCCAGGAAGCCGTGCTCGCGCAGGAACGCCAGCGTGGGCTCCCGCGTGTGGCCTGACGTCATGATGTACCTGCCTCAGCAACAACAACAACACCACGAGTCAACAACAACAACACCACCACCACGAGTCAACAACAACAACGACTGGCTCGTGCGGCGTGGCCGCGATCGTTCTCACGGCGCAGAGCGACTGTCGCGGCGTCTCTCTGCCACCGCTGGACATCTGTGAACGAGAGCTCCACGGCTCATCGGATTTCCTCGAGGATAAATGAAGATTCTGATTACGACTCTGAACCACCCTGACGCCCTTTAAAAGGCGAAAGGGCCCTTGCCCGAAACGTCGCGGACGCCGGCATTCGTCAAGATTCCCCCACAACCAGCTCTCCTTTCCCGGCCCCAACGCACCAGGGCAGCCCCCCCCCCCACTAATCCCAACATACCAGGCCAAAGCCCCCCCCCCCTCACTGCCCTTCCTATTCCCAACGTACCAGGGCAGCCCCCCGCCCCCCCACCTTCACCCCCCCACCACTGCCCCCGCTATTCCCAACGTACCAGGGAAGCCCCCCCCTCCGATTGCCCCCCCCCCCCCCACTGTACAGGGCTGCCCCTCCCCCTCACCCACCTGCCCCCACCCTCCCGCTATTCCCAACGTACCAGGGCAGCCCCCCCCGCTGTTCCCAACGTACCAGGGCAGCCCCCCCCGCTGTCCCCAACGTACCAGGGCAGCCCCCCCCACTATCCCCAACGTACCAGGGCTGCCCCTTCCCCTCACCCACTGCCCCCCCCCTCCGCTTTTCCCAACGTACCAGAGCCCCCCCCCTGCCCCTCGCTATCCCCAACGTACCAGGGCAGGGCCCCCCGCTGTTCCCCAACGTACCAGGGCAGCCCCCCCCACTATCCCCAACGTACCAGGGCAGGGCCCCCCGCTTGCCGTGCCTCTCCTCGGCGAGCCGCTGCAGGCGCAGGATGCGCTGGGCCTGCAGCTGCAGCAGGGGCTTGTGGGAGGGCAGCCCCACATCGTAGAGGCCCTTGGGGTAGGGCACGCCCAGACGCGTCCCTTGACCCCCGGCCAGGAGCACGATGGCCACGCGACCCTCGGCAACCTGCAGCAGACCTGCAGAGATTCTAGATTTGAGGCTTTGGTGACTGCAAGGATTCATATTCGTAGGTTTTTTTTCCGGTAAAGTCACGTGGGTAAAAACATTAAAATTAATGAAAGTAAAATCAAATAAAAATCACGACGTTTCGGAGGCAACACAAGCTTCCGTCTTCAGGTGGAACCGTCGCAGCCACGACAGCTGTATCAAGAGGCGGTGGGACGGGGAGATGTTAGCTACCTCGCCTGGTGTGCGGGAGGTCTCACTAGTTGCTATGATCACCGTTTCCTTGCTTTCAGTGGCTTTATTTTGGTGGTTTAGAAAAGTGTATTGGTTTAGCAATGTTTGTTTGTTGTAGTACAGAGTTAGACTGATGGCCTTAATCTAAGTTGTCTTGTGGTTGTTGTTGTTGTTTGACTTGCATCCCACTGGGATTTTTGCACACAGCGTTGGTGTACGGTGTTTTTTTTCTGCAATATTTTGCTGTCTTTTCTTGGATTTTCTGTTTGCACTCAGTCACATATTCACTTTAAGATGTTTTTTTGTTAATGTTTTTTGTTTGGTTATGTTGCGGTTGCACCCGATTCAAGAGCTGAAGGGCTCACAGGGCTATAACGAATACATGAACTTGAACTAAACTATGTTTTATTGTATGTGAGTTGAACTTCCTTTGCGCCCTACGTAGTAAACCGTGCGATTAGCAGGCAAGGCCCCATAGGGCTGTGAAGTTTTTTTATGACCTGGCCACACGTATCATCATCACATGGATAGCAGCGGTCAAATGCTCGCAACGCGCGACACGTTTGATTCTAGATGTGGCAGTCCGTAATGTGCTGGTGAGAGTCTGCGATATCTGGGCACGGCCAAAAGGCGTGCAGGTTAACTCTGAAACCATGAACCTTGGCATTGTTCATGTGGTAGGTTCCGTGTATGAATTTATATTGAATATTTTGCAATGGAGGAGACCTGGGGCCTGCCGCCTGAACTCGCCATACCCGAAGTCCACTTGATTTATTTTGTAACAGGTAAGGCCCACGGAGCAAAGCTTTTTTAGAAGCGATCTGGCTATCAAATGATATCAGGTGGAAATGTATAGCAGACAAATGTTCTGAACGCATGGTTTATTATAAATGTGGAGGGGGGAAACCGGAAGAACCAGAGAAACAACGTAACCACGGAGAGAGACACGCAAACTCCAAATATACAGCAGCAGGCGTCAGGGTCGGGATAGAACCCACGACCTCCTGTATACCAGGCGAGGTAGTTAACATCTCCTAGCCACCGTGATGATGATGAGAGAGAAGACACGCAAACTCCAATATACAGCAGCAGGCGTCAGGGTCGGGATAGAACCCACGACCTCCTGCAGACCAGGCGAGGTAGTTAACATCTCCTAGCCACCGTGATGATGATGATGAGAGAGGACACGCAAACTCCAAATATACAGCAGCAGGCGTCAGGGTCGGGATAGAACCCACGACCTCCTGCACACCAGGCGAGGTAGTTAACATCTCCTAGCCACCGTGATGATGATGATGAGAGAGACACGCAAACTCCAAATATACAGCAGCAGGCGTCAGGGTCGGGATAGAACCCACGACCTCCTGCACACCAGGCGAGGTAGTTAACATCTCCTAGCCACCGTGATGATGATGATGAGAGAGACACGCAAACTCCAAATATACAGCAGCAGGCGTCAGGGTCGGGATTGAACCCACGACCTCCTGCACACCAGGCGAGGTAGTCAACATCTCCTAGCCACCGTGATGATGATGAGAGAGACACGCAAACTCCAAATATACAGCAGCAGGCGTCAGGGTCGGGATCGAACCCACGACCTCCTGCACACCAGGCGAGGTAGTTAACATCTCCTAGCCACCGTGATGATGAGAGAGAGACACGCAAACTCCAAATATACAGCAGCAGGCGTCAGGGTCGGGATCGAACCCACGACCTCCTGCATACCAGGTGAGGTAGTTAACATTTCCTAGCCACCGTGATGATGATGAGAGAGAGACACGCAAACTCCAAATATACAGCAGCAGGCGTCAGGGTCGGGATCGAACCCATGACCTCCTACACACCAGGCGAGGTAGTTAACATCTCCTAGCCATCATGATGATGAGAGAGAGACACGCAAACTCCAAATATACAGCAGCAGGCGTCAGGGTCGGGATCGAACCCACGACCTCCTGCACACCAGGCGAGGTAGTTAACATCTCCTAGCCATCATGATGATGAGAGAGACACGCAAACTCCAAATACACAGCAACAGGCGTCAGGGTCGGCATCGAACCCATGACCTCCGACACACCAGGCGAGGTAGTTAACATCTCCTAGCCATCATGATGATGAGAGAGAGACACAAACTCCAAATATACAGCAACAGGCGTCAGGGTCAGCATCGAACACATGACCTCCTACACACCAGGCGAGGTAGTTAACATCTCCTAGCCATCATGATGATGAGAGAGAGACACGCAAACTCCAAATATACAGCAGCAGGCGTCAGAGTCGGGATAGAACTCACGACCTCCTGCACACCAGGCGAGGTAGTCAACATATCCTAACCACCGTGATGATGGTGAGAGAGAGAGTCACGCAAACTCCAAATATACAGCAGCAGGCGTCAGGGTCGGGATCGAACCCACGACCTCCTGCACACCAGGCGAGGTAGTCAACATCTCCTAGCCACCGTGATGATGATGAGAGAGAAACGCAAACTCCAAATATACAGCAGCAGGCGTCAGAATCGGGATCGAACCCATGACCTCCTGCACACCAGGCGAGGTAGTTAACATCTCCTAGCCACCGTGATGATAATGATGATGAGAGAAAGACATGCAAACTCCAAATATACAGCAGCAGGCGTCAGGGTCGGGATCGAACCCACGACCTCCTGCACACCAGGCGAGGTAGTTAACATCTCCTAGCCACCGTGATGATGATGATGAGAGAGAGAGACACGCAAACTCCAAATATACAGCAGCAGGCGCCAGGGTCGGGATCGAACCCACGACCTCCTGCACACCAGGTGAGGTAGTTAACATTTCCTAGCCACCGTGATGATGATGAGAGAGAGACACGCAAACTCCAAATATACAGCAGCAGGCGTCAGGGTCGGGATCGAACCCATGACCTCCTACACACCAGGCGAGGTAGTTAACATCTCCTAGCCACCGTGATGATGAGAGAGAGACGCAATTCCAAATACACAGCAACAGGCGTCAGGGTCAGCATCGAACCCATGACCTCCTACACACCAGGCGAGGTAGTTAACATCTCCTAGCCATCATGATGATGAGAGAGAGACACGCAAACTCCAAATATACAGCAGCAGGCGTCAGAGTCGGGATAGAACTCACGACCTCCTGCACACCAGGCGAGGTAGTCAACATCTCCTAACCACCGTGATGATGGTGAGAGAGAGAGTCACGCAAACTCCAAATATACAGCAGCAGGCGTCAGGGTCGGGATCGAACCCACGACCTCCTGCACACCAGGCGAGGTAGTCAACATCTCCTAGCCACCGTGATGATGATGAGAGAGAAACGCAAACTCCAAATATACAGCAGCAGGCGTCAGAATCGGGATCGAACCCATGACCTCCTGCACACCAGGCGAGGTAGTTAACATCTCCTAGCCACCGTGATGATAATGATGATGAGAGAAAGACATGCAAACTCCAAATATACAGCAGCAGGCGTCAGGGTCGGGATCGAACCCACGACCTCCTGCACACCAGGCGAGGTAGTTAACATCTCCTAGCCACCGTGATGATGATGATGTGAGGGAAAGACACGCAAACTCCAAATATACAGCAGCAGGCATCAAGGTCGGGATCGAACCCACGACCTCCTGCACACCAGGCGAGGTAGTTAACATCTCCTAGCCACCGTGATGATGATGATGAGAGAGAGAGACACGCAAACTCCAAATATACAGCAGCAGGCGTCAGGGTCGGGATCGAACCCACGACCTCCTGCACACCAGGCGAGGTAGTTAACATCTCCTAGCCACCGTGATGATGATGATGAGAGAGAGAGACACGCAAACTCCAAATATACAGCAGCAGGCGCCAGGGTCGGGATCGAACCCACGACCTCCTGCACACCAGGCGAGGTAGTAACATCTCGCCACCACGGCACTAGCGCGTGGGCTCCATCCCGACAATGACACGTGGATTTTTCTCCGGTTTTTCCCTCCACATTTCAGAATGGACATCTTGCGTTTAGAGTATATGGCTGCTCTTGACTTAAAGCTTTTGTGACTTTCGATCGCAACACAAGCGTCATTAGGACGATTGCTTGTGTTGCGATCGAAGCGTCAAAGTTTTTGTTATTTTCTTTGAACCTATCGAGGTGACTTTACCGAAAGACCCAAGAATATTTGGCTTATAAATTACCAGGTCATGATGATAAGCCAATTCGTCGAGCTATCATTACGTGTGGCCAGATCGGTTCTTGAAGAAAAGAGCTACAGAACCCAGTGGGGCCTTACTTGGTAATAAGTAATATTTTTAAAAAAACTTTTTTCAAAACACGCTTTTATGAAATACTAGCAACGGCAGAACTCCACGACTCCAGGAAGTGGTCCCGAAGCTTACCATCACGTGGCCAATCGCAGCCAACGTCAGTTGATCGTGGACAATTAGACCCAAGCCGAAACATAACATCAAGTATAACCCGTAAAAACAAAGTTTTTCACTATAAATCCTTTATATGCGTGGCGGCTAGAGTCCTCTCGTCCTCTGGCTTGAGATGGCTGCCACCTATGGGTCAGATGATTGCATTGCACCATTAAGCAATTGGTAATTAAATATAATATTTTTGTCCTAAAGTGTAAAATTTTTGAAAACATTTTTCACGAACATGAATTGTCACGCACAACGAGTCTGTGTGGAAAATGTCAGCTCGATTGGATCACGGGAAGTGGGTTAAAAAATGACCGAAAGATTTGCACGGTCGTAAGCAAGCAAGCGAACTTAATATAAAGGATTTAAAAAGAATTTTGATTTAAAGCTTTCGTGACTGCAGGGATTCATATTCTTGGTTCTTTCGGTAAAGTCACGTAGAAGGGAAATAATAAAATCCACAGCAAGAACATTTTCTTGCTGTGGATTTCACACCTGTTGCAGTCGAAACGTCGTGAGAATTTTGATTGTTTTATATTTTTATTATTCTATTATTTCCCTTCTACGTGACTTTACCGAAAGAACCAAGAATATAAAAAAGAATGTATTTTTTTAAAATGCTAGAATATAGTATTGTCATCAGTATGACATAAGTATACCAAGTTTGCAGTCGATACCACATTGGGAAGTGGGTTAAAATCGAGTTACAAGATTTGAGGATACGACAACAACAACAGAGTTAATAGAAAGCGTGTAAAATAATAAAAAGTAAATAGTTTATGGCTTAGGCACATAACACGAGACCAAGTTTCTGCCCTGAAGCCTCCTCTTGCCCGCTCACCCCCATGCCCCCTCACCAGAGGTCGCAACCGAGTAACCCGATACCCGTACCCTACCCGATACCCGGCTACCCGTACCCAGCCGGGTACGGGTACCCGTTTGCGACCCTGGTGCGGCCGGGTACGGGTACGGGTAGGCCGTGAGTCACTGGTGAGTCACTGTTTGTCACTCATTTCCAAACGTCTTGTCTCTTCTCACAATTCAAGTTCCTAGAATCCAACCCACCCGCGCCTGCAACATGGCTTCATCCAGAGGGTCGCAATCAGTACCCGATACCCGTACCCTACCCGTACCCGGCCGGGTACGGGTAGGGTACGGGTACGGCCGGGTACAGGTACGGGTACCCGTTTGCGACCCTGGTGCGGCCGGGTACGGGTAGGGTACGGGTACGGCCGGGTACGGGTAGGGTACCCGTTTGCGACCCTGGTGCGGCCGGGTACGGGTACGGGTAAGGAATCAAAACCCGTTTGCGACCTCTGCCCCTCACCACCACTCACTCACTCCGTCTGTCACCCTACAATCCTCACCACACGTCACCTTCCCGCACTCACCGCGTAGAAGTTCACTCCTCACCCCACCCCACTCACCCCACATCACCCCTCACCCACGCCACGTCCCCACACTCACCACCCCTCACTCACCTCTCCTCACCCCACATCACCCCTCACTCACCACACCCCACGTCACCTGACCTATACACTCACTCACCCCTCACTCACCCACCCCACATCCTCTCAGCACCCCACGTCCGCTCACCCCATGCCACTTCAACCCCTAACCACCCCACGTCCCCACACTCACCACCCCTCACTCACCTCTCCTCACCCCACATCACCCCTCACTCACCTCACCCCATGTCACCTGACCTATCCACTCACTCACTCACCACCCCTCACTCACCCCTCACTCACCCCACATCACCTCACCCCTCCTCACCCCACGTCACTCACCCCACGTCACTCACCCCACGTCACTCACCCCACGTCACTCACCCCACGTCACTCACCCCACGTCACTCACCCCACGTCATTCACCCCACGTCACTCACCCCACGTCACTCACCCCACGTCACTCACCCCACGTCACTCACCCACGTCACTCACCCACGTCACTCATCCCACGTCACTCACCCCACGTCACTCACCCCACGTCACTCACCCCACGTCACTCACCCCCACGTCACTCATCCCACGTCACTCACCCCACGTCACTCACCCCACGTCACTCACCCCACGTCACTCATCCCACGTCACTCACCCCACATCACTCACCCCACGTCACTCACCCCACGTCACTCACCCCACGTCACTCACCCACGTCATCACCCCACGTCACTCATCCCACGTCACTCACCCCACGTCACTCACCACGTCACTCACCCCACGTCACTCATCCACGTCACTCACCCACATCACTCACCCACGTCACTCACCCACGTCACTCACCCCACGTCATCATCCCACGTCACTCACCCCACGTCACTCACCCCACGTCACTCACCACGTCACTCACCCCACGTCACTCACCCCACGTCACTCATCCCACGTCACTCATCCCACATCACTCACCCCAATCACTCACCCCACGTCACTCACCCCACGTCACTCACCCCACGTCACTCATCCCACATCACTCACCCCACATCACTCACCCCACGTCACTCACCCCATCACTCACCCCACGTCACTCACCCCACGTCACTCACCCCACGTCACTCACCCCACGTCACTCACCCCACGTCACTCACCCCACGTCACTCATCCCACATCACCTCCCCACTCACTCACCCCCCTCCTCACCCTCACCACCCACCGTGCTGCTCCCAGTCTCTCAGGCTCTCGGGGTCAGACGCGATGCTGCTACCGCACAACTCTTCGGGCAGCGGTTCGAGCGCTGCCCCGGGCTGCCCGGGCTGCCCCGGCTGCCCGGGCTGCCCGGCCGCCACCGCCTTGTGGAGCGAGGGCCGCAGGGCCTCCAAGTCGGCCTCGGCCAGCTCCCGTGCCAGGGCCTCCCGTTGGGGGCCCGCCAGCTCGCCCCAGAAGGCCAGGGCGTGCTGCTGCCCGCAGCCGTGCAGGCGACGCCGCAGCGCCTCCAGCCACGGGGGGCAGCCACCCTCCTCGCTACCGGGGGGCAGGGGGGGCAGGGCTGCCCCTGCCGCTGCCCCGTGAGCCGCCTCTTGGTCGCCCATGGAGGGGGTGCAAGGCACGGGAGGGAGAGTGAGTTACGTGTGGCTGTGTACGGTGCGAACGAAGTTCAGCATGCAGAGTGGGAGCAGCAGAGGGGTGGGGTGGGTGGTCGTGAGAGAGCGGTGGCGATATGGTGAGGGCAGCGCGAGAGGGCAGCAGCACGAGGGGGCAGCACGAGAGGGCAGCAGCAGCACGAGAGGGCAGCAGCAGCACGAGAGGGCAGCAGCAGCACGAGAGGGCAGCAGCAGCACGAGAGGGCAGCAGCAGCACGAGAGGGCAGCAGCAGCACGAGAGGGCAGCAGCAGCACGAGAGGGCAGCAGCAGCACGAGAGGGCAGCAGCAGCACGAGAGGGCAGCAGCAGCGCGAGAGGGCAGCAGCAGCGCGAGAGGGCAGCAGCAGCACGAGAGGGCAGCAGCAGCACGAGAGGGCAGCAGCAGCACGAGAGGGCAGCAGCAGCACGAGAGGGCAGCAGCAGCACGAGAGGGCAGCAGCAGCACGAGAGGGCAGCAGCAGCACGAGAGGGCAGCAGCAGCACGAGAGGGCAGCAGCAGCACGAGAATGAAGCTCCCCAATCGTCAACTTGCTCCCAATGGGAACCAGGAAGTCACGCGCGGAATCGATTCGGGGGAATCAACACCTCGATTTTTGGAATCGATTCCACCACCACGCGACTTTGTTTAATAAAAAAAAAAATCTTCACCGATTTAATCGCTCGGCTTTAATCGATAAGCGGCGTCGCATCTTTCGCGAGGTTGCTTCCCCCGTTGGACGCGCCACGTAAATGTAAACTATCTCTAGTTAAACTTAATAAGCGGGTCTTTTTTGTTGTTGTTCGTGTTTCGATTCATCGGCGGGTTAAAAAAATACGACTGTCGTGGAATCGATTCGCGACGAGGTCAGCTGATCATGTGCCGCGTGGACACGGCAGTCACGTGGGGAGAGGCCACGTGGAAAGGTAACTCCTGTACTGTAGAGCTAGTTTCTTGGTTCTTTCGGTAAAGTCACGTAGAAGGGAAGTAATAAAATAATAATAAAAATATAATAAACAATTCTCACGACGTTTCGGCCACAGTCTCCCCGACAGACCTAGTCTTCACCTGAGGACGGCTGCTTGCGTTGTGGCCGAAACGTCGTGAGAATTATTTTATTATGTTTTATTTTTATTTTATTATTTCCCTTCTACGTGACTTTACCGAAAGAACCAAGAAGATGAATCCCTGCAGTCACGAAAGCTTTAAATCGAAATTGTAGAGCTATTGTTGATTGGGGCCGTCCATAAATGACGTCACGCACCTGGGGGGGGGGGGGGTCAGACATTTGTGACGATGTGTGACGAGGGGGGGGGGAGTTTGAGAAATGTGACGTCACATCAAAATGCGCAACTTTTAATAAATATAGACAACACGTTCTACTTAATTAAACTTTTAATAAATATTTTCTCCTACAACATCAGAGTGCAGCGCCACATTAAGTACGCACTACAATGACAATAGTTTAAAGCGATTTGAAGCATGTTTTATTTTTTTCGGGGGGGGGGGGGGCAGAGCTTTGTGACGTCATATTTGAGGGGGGTCTGACTTTTTGTAAAACCCTCCACCCCCTCGTCACACATCGTCACAAATGTCTGACCCCCACCCCCCAGGTGCGTGACGTCATTTACGAACGGCCCCTTATCAATTGGATATGTATGGCAGTAGCCAAATACTGCGGTGTACACACGTGGCGTTGAGTCTAAATGTGTTGGGAAAAAATTAACCCGTAAAAACAAAGTTTTTCACTATAAATCCTTTATATGCGTGGCATCGTTTTTATTTTATTATTCATTTCTGTTTTTCTTGAGTAAGAGTTTCATTTTGATCACATTGGTATTTTAAATTAAATATGAAAAAAAATTTTTCCTAAAAAGTGTAAAATTTTGGAATTTTTTTTCACGAAAATAAATTGTCACGCACAACGAGTTTGTGTGCAAAATGTCAGCTCGATTGGATCACGGGAAGTGGGTTAAAAAACGACCGAAAGATTTGCACGGTCGTAAGCGCGCAAGCAAGCAAGCAAGTGAACTTAATATAAAGGATTTAATAAGTATAACCCGTAAAAACAAAGTTTTTCACTATAAATCCTTTATATGCGTGGCGGCTAGAGTCCTCTCGTCCTCTGGCTTGAGATGGCTGCCACCTATGGGTCAGATGATTGTGTGCCAGTATTAAGCAATTGGTAATTAAATATTTAATTTGTTTTCCCTAAACAGTGTAAAATTTGGGGGAAAAAATTTCACGAACATTAATTGTCACGCACAACGAGTCTGTGTGCAAAATGTCAGCTCGATTGGATCACGGGAAGTGGGTTAAAAAACGACCGAAAGATTTGCACGGTCGTAAGCAAGCAAGCAAGCGCGCAAGCAAGCAAGCGAACTTAATATAAAGGATTTAAAAAACGAAGTTTCCCGGAAAAGAAATCCACGCGACCACGGGGTGTGGAAGGGGGGGGGGGACATGCAAAGTCTCTAGTTCCTCCGGTTTTTTTGTACTTCCACGTTTAGAAACAACGCGCGTTTAGAGTATTTAGGCAACTGTGTGTGTCCACGTGAAGATACGCCACTTCGTTGAGCTGTCACGTCTGAAAAAACATCTCGATGTAGCTCAGTGGGTCTTAGCTGGTCAAATAAAATGTTTTTTGTTTAAATAGTTTAATATCTAGAGCCTCCCTGTAACGAATAGGGGTCGTTGCTACTTTCTCCCCGAGATTACACTGGTCAACACACTTTTCTGGCAGAAGGTATTCCAACGGGTTTAAGGTAATTTTGGGGGGTGCTGATTCCAAATCTGGCATCAGTTTTTGTCTATCACGTCACGTTTTTGAGATATCAATTATTGCATTTTCAATAAAAACTGCAGAAGAAAAATGTTAAGTAAATGTGGATATCTACATAAAATGATATTATAAACACACTATCCTAAAAATACAGCACCATATTTTAACACTAAAGCAGTCACTGACTCGCAACAACTTGCAATCATAAGTGACAGAGTTAATTTCGGGTAAAATCAATAAAAATGGGGTATGCCGATAGCATAAAAATGAGATGTGTTAAAGCAAATCTGAGATCAGATTTGGAATCAGCACCCTGAAATTAGTCTAAAACAGCTGCAAAAGTCCAGGCCAGAAAACAATGTTTTTTTTTGTTGACCAGTGATAATCAACATCGGTCGCACACGAAGTTGATGGAGTCTGGTTACTGCCCGCCAGAGGGCAGCAGTTGTCCTAAGCCCAGAACCCAAAGCACTCTCTTTTAAAATCCTTTATATTAAGTTCGCTTGCTTGCGTGCTTGCGTGCTTGCTTGCTTACGACCGTGCAAATCTTTCGGTCGTTTTTTTAACCCACTTCCCGTGACAATTAATGTTCGTGAAAATTATTTTCCAAAATTTTACACTTTTTAGGACAAGAATATTATATTTAATTACCAATTGCTTAATGGTGCAATGCAATCATCTGACCCATAGGTGGCAGCCATCTCAAGCCAGAGGACGAGAGGACTCTAGCCGTCACGCATATAAAGGATTTATAGTGAAAAACTTTGTTTTTACGGGTTAATTTTTTTTAAACCAGGGGCAGCTTTCACGATTCACAACAACAACGATTGTTCTACACGAGCCCAACACACGCCAAGTGGTTGGGGTTGTTGAACTGATCACGATACAATTGTTGTAAAGAGCTTGGGGAGGAGAGAGAGACGAAACATGATGAGAGAGGGGAAATCCACAGTGGAGGGGCGAGATAAGTTGTCACCTGTAGTGTGGGTGCATAAGTAAGTCAGTGGCTGAGTGAGTTGGTGGGTGAGTGAATGAGTGCATGAGTGAGTCAGTGAGTGAGTGAGTGGGTGAGTGAATGAGTAAGTCGGCGAATCAGTGGGCGAGTGCATGAGTGAGTTGGTGGGTGAGTGAGTGGGTGGTTGTGTGGGTGGGTGGGTGAGTGGGTGGGTGAGTGAATGAGTAAGTCAGTGGGTGGGTGGGTAAGTGGATGGGTGAGTCGGCGAGTGAGTGGGTGAGTGCATGAGTGAGTCAGTGAGTGAGTTGGTGGGTGAGTGAGTGGGTGGGTGAGTGAATGCGTAAGTCAGTGGGTGAGTGGGTGAATGGATGGGTGAGTAGGCGAGTGAGTGAGTGAGTGAATGAGTAAGTCGGCGAGTAAGTGGGTGGGTGAGTGAATGAGTAAGTCAGTGGGTGGGTGGGTGAGTGGATGGGTGAGTTGGTGGGTGAGTGAGTTGGTGGGTGAGTGAGTTGGTGGGTGAGTGAATTGGGTGGGTGAGTGAATGAGTAAGTCAGTGGGTGGGTGGGTGAGTGAGTAAGTCAGTGGGTGGGTGGGTGAGTGGATGGGTGAGTCGGCGAGTGAGTGGGTGAGTGCATGAGTAAGTCAGTGAGTGAGTTGGTGGGTGAGTGGGTGGGTGAATGCGTAGTTCAGTTGGTGAGTGAGTTGGTGGGTAAGTGGGTGAGTGAGTGAATGAGTAAGTCAGGGGGTGGGTGTGTGGGTAAGTGAGTGAGTGAGCGTGTGAGTAAGTCAATGGGCTGAGTGAGTTGGTTGGGTGAGTTAGCGGATGAGTTGGTGTTTAGTGGGTGAGTGAGTGGGTGTGTGAATGACTAAGTCAAATAGTCGCTCCAAGCCTGGGGCGTGTCATTCAGACTCTGTCTTCTCGACAGACCTGTTCTCCACCTGAGGACGGCTGCTTGCGTTGTGGCCGAAACGTCGTGAGAATTGTTTTATAATGTTTTATTTTTATTATTTTATTATTTCCCTTCTACGTGATTTTACCGAAAGAACCAAGAAGATGAAGTGTTTTGTATAATATTTTTTCTACCTACGTCACTTTACCTCTCCACCCGCGTGCCATGAATACAAGGGCAATTGCCCGAAACGTCTGCTAGTATATCAAATTCAAGTTCATGTTTTAGGTATAGCCCTGTGAGCCATTCGGCTCTTGAATCGGGTGCAACCGCAACAAACAAAAAATGAACAAGAAAACATCTTAAAGTGACTATGTGCAAACAGAAAATCCAAGAAAAGACAGCAAAATATTGCAGAAAAGGCACCGTACACCAACACTATGTTTTCCCGTGTGGGGTGTGGGGTGGGGTGTTGTTATTCGTTGAGTCATTGACTTGATGTTTGCGTGCATTTTCAAATGACTCGAGCTGCCGAGATATGACGAGAATCGGCCCGCATTCCATGCAGTTTGGTCAATGCACGCGGTGGAGGAGGCGGTGGCTCTCTGACTATATTTAGACGTGGGCGTATGTGTGTGTGTATGTGTGTGTGTATGTGTGTGTATGTGTGTGCGTGTGTGTGTGCGTGTGTGTGTATGTGTGTGTATGTGTGCCTGTGTATGTGTGTGTATGTGTGTGTGTATGTGTGCCTGTGTATGTGTGTGTATGTGTGTGTGTGTATGTGTGTGCGTGTGTGCGTGCGTGCGTGCGTGCGTGTGTGCGTGTGTGTGTATGTGTGTGTATGTGTGTATGTGTGTGTGTATGTGTGCCTGTGTATGTGTGTGTATATGTGTGCGTATGTATGTGTGTGTATGTGTGTGTATGTGTGTG